GCTTCTAAAAATAACCTACGAGTTTATTTCCTATTTTTTACGCGTGTTTTAATTTTCCCTTGGCTCACATATTATCACATTTTATTAAATAAAAATGTATTTCCTAAACTTTAAACATTTGCAGCTGCTATACATGTTGTGTTTTCCTGCTGCATGACAATGACAACGGCCCCCGGGGCTGTTCTCTCTCTGTGCACAAGAGAGAGGTGGTTCATTTAGTTGGCCATAAACCATTTATTTACCTTCAGGTGAGTGTCGCTGAGAGTGCAGAGTAAAGATCGCAGCAGAGATTTACACCTGTCTCTCTGCTCAAATAGAGAAGCCCATAGCCTACAGAGATGGCCACTGGAGCCAGCTTGTCTGGGGCTCTGCTAGACAGCCCACCCCCGCCTCCTCCTCCGCCCCCTCCTCCTCCCCCTCCACCACCGTGGATTAAACAACATCATAAAAAATGACCATCAACGCGCACACTGTAAACAGATTATTCTGCTCGGCGCCTGGCGCACAAACTCCACGCTAAAGGCAAGGCGCGTCCCAGCAGCCATGTGTTGCAGCAGCGAGGGTGGCTCTGCTTGGTCATCCTTTTTTTTTTTTTTTTTCTCCAACCATTTACGCACACTACTCTGGACACTTCCCGGTAAATGCTGGCGAGCGTTTGATGTCACGGCTGCTGCTTTTCAGAGACTCTTGGGAGGCTGCTGGGGGACATTTGTTACAAGGTGAAGAGTCACATTTCTTCACAGACCTCCTCTCAGAGCTTTTTGAACATGGAACAGCACAGCTTGTTTAATATATCTTTATTTAATATGAGCTCTGATAATTTAGAAATCTTACTTTAAAATATCTCACATGTCCCATCCCAGCACTGATGTCTCCACATGACCTACATCTGCGTTTGACCCCTGTTTTACCTGTTGCTTCACATAACTGATGAGGGCTGTGAACCTCTAGGATTAGTCACTTTGCTGTCATGACTATGTTTGGCTGTTATAACACAATAACGTACAATTTTCTCTCATTTTTCTCAAGTAAGGTGCATCCACAGGTCTGCGCTCAAACCTTGTGAAATCCATTCATCACGCAGGAGAACAAGCAGTGTCATTAGTGCTTTACTGCTTGGTAATCAGCCTGGAGATCTCAATTTGCAGTCCCGTCCTCCAGCATTCTCTGAAGTGTTTTTAGGCACCATCTTACAAGGTTAATATGTCTGTACTTTCACTTAAATCATCGCTTTAGTCATAGCATGTGAGGGTTGTTCACATTTAGGAAAAAGTTGTTGAATGCCAGATTTTAACAGCTTACACATTGGTTAGTAGGGATTATTAGTTTCAGCCTCTGATTCATAACTGATTCATTCATAGGAGTAGATTTCGGGGAGATGTCCCCATCGATATTTATAACATGCATGAAAGTAGCAGAGGACTTTTATTTTGACGAAATTTAAGACATTTACATCAGATATTGTTGTAGAAAATGAACAAATTCCTGCCTAAAAATTCAATAGAATGCAGAAAATTTAGTGTTTGAATCTCAAAAGTTTCCCGCAGAAGACCCTGAACACCTTTTTCACATGTGTTGCACATGATATTGAAACAAAATCTGATCCCTTGGTTTCATTAAATCCCTTTCCCCCAGCTATTTCTAAACATAACACTAAAATGTTCCATTATAGCGGTGGTGAATAGCTGTAAAAATATGTGTGTGTGATGCTTGAAAATGGTGATTCAAGTGTGAAAACAAAGACAAAAGGTGTGACTAACTTTTGATGAGAACCAGGCCACATTTAAAAGTTAAAATTTAAAGCGACAGGCTGTTTCAAGTCATTTCACATAGGGTTAAAATAGAAACTCCCCCATAAAGCACTTAAGTTGCATCGAGTAAAAATAAACCCAAATAGAAACTTCTATTTTTCTCTCCCAGGCACACACACACCATTGTCTCCTTTCTCTCTCCCTCCCTCTCTTTCTCACACACATACAAACTGATACACAATATACATACACACACTGGCACATCACTTCAGTGGTCACTTCGCTGGCCTGAGAGCAAGCAGTGTGTCCATTGGTCAGCCAATGAATTTCATGCTCTATTGATGAGAATAATCTCCTTCGGTGTGAGGCTGGCAGTGTGGAGATCCTGCCTGATTTCCCGCAAATTAAAGTCCTAACATGCAGGTTGTTCTGAATCAGGTCTGCAATTACTCAAGTCATCAGGCTGTCAGCATCCCCATCCTCAGCCCCTTCCATGAATATCTCGGATTTTACGCAGAGTTTTGTAGTCTGCTCACTTGTCTTGTGTTGCTAATCTGCTCAACTGCTGCTCCCTTTTCTCCTCTGATCTCTGGTGTTTTTTGCAGCGCGGATGCTGACTCACTGATAGCAGCAATAATACTTTATTCTTGAAGTATGGGCCAAGACACAAAATGGGTCACGGGCCCCCTTTTTAGTGGCTCTTTGTGTGACAATGTGAGGGTGTTTAGATGAGTCCGGGTCACAAGGCCAGAGTGATTTTATTCAAATTAGGTCTGGAGCTTACAAAAGCTCCCCCATATGCCGTCGTAACTAACATTAAAGCCCACAAAATAGTTTATTTTAGATAATGTCACTTGAGCATTACTACTGGCTTAAAAGGTGCCCCTCCACGTGTACGACAATGGTTTGTTTAAGCAAAATCCCAGTTTAGACACACTAAATAAGCATGATTGATTATTTGCTGAGTGAGCAGGCATAGATCACAATTATTAGTCCCCTCTGGTAATGGAGCAGCTTTTAGCTCTAACCAATATATAGACGTCTCTAGTGGTAAATTACCCTGAGAGATCCCAACTTGTGTTTTGTTGTGAAATTTTAAATAAGTGTTAGATAGTTTTATCAATATAAATGCATCCGGATGTTGCACATTTTTTTTTCTTTTTGAAAGTTAAGTCTCTCCCTCATCATTTTTTATTTCTTTCATCGACTCATTCAAACATTCAGCTCAGCCTTTGACATGTGTATGTTATTCTGAGAGAGAGGGGGGTCGGTGGCGTTATGTGCAAGTTGGAAAATTATAAAAGGAAGCCTTCCATCTAGTGCAGCCATAAGGGAATACAGAGAGGGAGGCAGCGGGAGCAAATCGAGAGCGGTGATTTCCAAAATGGCTCGGCCATTGAATGACAATAGCCAGGCCCCTCTGCCTGTCTCTCTTTCTTTCACTGCTGCAGACTACAAAAACTAACATAATAAAGCGGGCAGAGAAAATGACCAAATGTGATTTATTCTGATTTGAACAAATCATTGTGATTTTAATCTGGCAGGAGAAATATCCATGGTAACTGAATTTCTAGCTGTCTAATTTTGTGTGACTTGTGTCCCCTTTGTTTTGGATTTTGTTGTTGCCAAAAACAGGGGCTGGGGGTCCAAAATAATCAGCACACGTTTTGCAACCGCTGCGTCTTCCCTGTGGAATCCCTGACATCCCTGTCAGTGAGAATATATACAGTGAAGTTTATTATATTTATTCTAGAAGATAGCATTTCTAAAAATACATCCGTCAAACATTTTAAGGAGGCACTGACAGGCTGATGCAGCTTTGGGAGAATTAAGAAATAATGAGCTGTTTGGAAAGGCACAGGACATGACTTAAATTTAATTTCAATATTTAATGCATATGTATAAAATTGTATTTGTATGATATTCAAATAGTAAACAACATATGTACTATAGCAGGAGTACTGACAATTGTATTTTTCTCCAGGTTAAGTCATTATACTTCTATAACGACACGTTTGCTACACATATTTTGGGCATTATTTCCCAGAAATAGAGATTTTGACCTTTTTTTCTGAATTCACTGTGTGCAGCGCTTAACAATGTTTTCATCATTCCTCTAATATATGGCAGAGTCAGTGAGCAGCCCTACATATTCTCTCATCCGTCAAGGAAGGGAAGATTTTTTTCAATAAATAATTCACCACTGATAGCCAGCCCTAATGCCTACATGAACAAATCTCTCAGTTACAGCCATCTTGGGAGTACGCCAGTCCAAGAGCGTACTTAATAAACAAATACAGGGTCTGACAAGCTCTGGTTTCACTGATGTCTTTCCGAGAGGAAAGTATTTGAAGACAGTCGGTGAAACAACATCCTTTCTGCGGGTGAAGGTTTAGGGGTCAGGTGTGGGTTATTGTATTGTTACTGCTGATACTCTGGATAGATTTACTGTCCATTTTACACAGGGCATAATTTAAGCTTTTCTGTATAATTATCTGACATTTATGTTCTAAAATTTTATTATCTTGCACCATTTAGTGGGAATTAAATGTCAAAGGACACATCAATAGAATACATAAAATATAAAAATGAACACATATTTCCCCTTATGAACACAGGTTGGTTTCTACTGTGCATAGAAACCAGCTTTTTGAGCATGTTATCCTTTGTGTCCACTTCTTGGACCAGTGCATAGTCTGTATCACAGCCTTACATCGACCACATGTTCGCTGGGACTAGAAACATGATCCAGACATGATTCCCCTAACCTGGCCCTTAGGGTGAAATGTGTGTGTGTGTGTGTGTGTGTGTGTGCCTGTGCAACATCTTCTCACGGAAATGTTCTTGTTGTACACTGCAAACAGAAACCACCTTGTTTTTGTAGCATTAAAGTGAATTTATGGTTTTAATATAAATAATATTAAGGTCTGTATTAGCACCCTTTTTTTTGCTCAGTGTGGGAGATAAAGTTCAGGGGACATCCCGATCCACTCCCTTTGCCACGTTCAAGTCAGATGGAAAACATGACGTTTATTTTTGTACTATTAAGTACAAATTTCCAGTGTGATCAGGCTGTGTTTGCCAGCATGCACAATCAGGTGTACGTGTGTGACTGGACATGGTTGTCACCCAGTTATTTAGCCCATCTGTGTGTCTGCAGCAAGACTCCCTACATGAAATATTCAAGGTCCAGTGAAAATTGATCTGCTGATCTGAAGTCTGTTTCTTTCTCCCTCTCCCTCTGACCAGATCCCCTTGGAGCTGCCTGGAAGAAGGATCCTAATATCATGTATCAGTTAGATGACCAAGTTCAGGGCCTGCACGACTGCTGCAGCTCAGCGCCGGAGCTCGGATCAATGGAATACTGTTGGGGATACAACGGACCACACCCACACACTGATTAGACCCTCTGATTGGATATCACATGGATGTCTTGACCACTACCATGGCTTTCATGCAAATTGATGAAGGTAATTTTAGCCCCTTAAGTGAAATTTGATTTGCGTTAAGAGCTCTTGCTACTTTTTCTTAATGTAAAATGGTTTTGATTAATAGCCGGGGAGTCCATGGAGAAATATTACCAAGTGCAACGGTTTAATGTATCTCTATCTCTAACTAAATTAGTGGTGCTGCCGTTTGTCATCTGAGTTTACTGCCAGTCTTTTAGGCAAGAAATAGCTGATTTCTTCAATATACTCTCCACTTAAAACAAACATTTATATGTATTTACAGTAATCACTTATTAGGCCACAAACACCTCCCAAATCGTAGGCCTATAGGTCATTTAATCCGTCCTTTGGAAAACGGAGAAATAAACCAAAGAGATGTCACACACCACTTGTAACACACTTTAAGCGAAAAACCCAAACACACACACGCACAGAAACTAAAATGTTATCAGCAAACAAGCCCTGCTATACCATTGTATCCACCTACCCAGACTGTAGCTGTTACGTGCTCTCCTAAATGTCTGCAACACTTCACCTCACCTCCTCAGAGCGGCACAGCGCTGCACCCTGACTAAATGAAAAACAATCTGAGGAAACAGGGAACAATCCTAGGCAGGCTCCAGCGGGCTGCCATAAAAAGAGGGGCTGCCTCTCCAGCCTCTCCCTCATGCCTTCAGCTTTAAGTCTATGGGCTGATGAAAGATCAATGGGCCGACTGGGCAGCCGCTGCTGTGCCTGCTGTCCGCCACTGCACCAGGAAGCAAGCCAATTACAAAACACCAGGAGAAAAAAAAGAGAGAGAACGGGAAAACCCTCGATCTTTGCAAACTGAGTGATTAGTGACATAGTTTTATGTGTGTGTGAGTGAATGTTTTCCTGTTATCTCACATATGCTGAGTTCAGCCCATTGCAGCCAGGCTTATTTTCAAGAAATGTTGAACGTTTCCAGCCAGTGGATCATACTCCAAACTCATTTTAACCCTCATCTCTCCCTACATCCCCCCCACCTTCCCTACTTCACCCTCTTTAACACCCCTTTAACCCTCCGCCCCCTGCCTCCAGGAGCCTCACTCCTGATCTGTACCAGTTAACCAGCCCTCTGGATCTCCGGCAGGAGTAATGGGGGCTGGCGCTACAGTTTGGTGCAAACACGCAGCAGCAGACAAACAAATCATGTTAAGTCTCTGCTGCCACGGCTGGCAGCACACTCAAAGGGGAGCCGGTGCCCTGCCAGGGAGGAGGGTGCACCCATTTTCCCAGGGAGGGGGTGAGGGTGAGGGTGAACACAAGGGAGGGCAGCATGGAGGGGAGGCCTGGTCCTTATCGAGCCCGGATCACAGACACCTCCGCCCCTCCTGGCAGGAATGCATACAGCCCCAGTGGGAGGAGAGAGAGGGGAGAAGAAAGAAGGAGGAGGAGGAGGAGGAAACAAGCAGACATTAAGAGGGGAAGTAAAAAGGGAAAGAAAAGAACGAGTGAGGGAAAGTGAGTGACTGAATGAAGGAGGGAGACAGACACACACACACAGAGAAAAAGACCTGCCCAGTTTAGGAGAGGGAGTGTCTGTGAACATACACACACAGACAAAAACACACCAATCACAGCACTCAACACACCCTCAGTGGATTGAGAGCACCACTGGGAGAGCACATTGGAAAACAAACAGGGCATTAGGCTGCTTAAATACCATTCTAACCGAGCAACTGCGGTTATCATTACGTCAGTTTAGTCACAGTTTTAATGTGATGTGTGTCACTGATGACAGCTGAGGAGAGATCAGAAAGGCAACAGTGCGGTTACACACCAGAGAGGTGTCAAACTGGATGTTGGTAGACCGTCACAAAATGTTACAGCTACTCTTGGCTGCATGTTTGGGTCATTAAGTTCAGGCTAAGACTGAAAAAACATGTAATTGTGATGAATATCCCCAGAAGAGTCATTTTTATGTCTTTGGTCTTGATATTTTTATCCTCATGTTGTTTTCCAAAATAAGCACGCCCTAATTTCAAACATTTCCCTTGTGAGGCCTTACTGTACGTTTCAGATATCATGGTTGCAAATATTCCCTCTTTTTTCTCCCCCAAATAGAAAGCAGGTTGATAGAATATTGAGTGTATAAAGATCCTCAGTTATTGGATTGTATAATATTTCCACAGCCTCTCCTGGGATGGAAATATTTATTTCTGAAGCCCATAGAGAGGCAATTGTGATCTTAACATGGCATTCCTGCGAGCTCCTTGTGGTTGTGTGTCAGGGCAAAGAACAGATTTTGTCAGGTGGAGATTGGGGTTTAGGGGTTCATTTGCAGTTCACGCAAGAGCATTCCATGCAATCTTTACGTTTCCATTCACCCCCCCCCCCCCCCCCCCCCCCCCCCCACCAACCACCCACTCACCCTCTTCCTCTCCTCACGCCTTCGCTTATCGCACACTTCTTTCTTCTCCTCTTTTGAAATGCTAATATCTATGAACGCTTATTTCTTCACTGTTGACATAATTCGCTTTTCGGTTCAAAATGTGGAGAGCACTGACATGTGTATTCTGCATGCTTTGCCGGACGCCCAGGAGCGATATTTCCATGACGAAGATGTGAGTCACACAACAATGTACACACTGTAACTTCTGTGTACTGATCCCTAATGACTCTTAAGTGTCTCTGAAATGCACTGCACTATCTACTGTGATATAATCACAACACGTAACCAAACAAACAAGCTCTTACAGCCGGCATAACACCAGTGCAGCTCAGTAATCCCCTTCTTAACACTTAACACAACAAGTCTAACAAAGACGACAGAGTCAGACAGAAGCAGAAGGGCAAGTACTTTATTTATGCCAGCCAGAGAGTTTGACTGAAAGGCACCTAATGTTAGTTTGCAAATAATGCTTACAACATAGAATTGTTCTTCAATTTGCAGTTTAACATTTACTAATTTACTTTTTACACTATAAATAAATGTGACGTGACAACACAGAGAGGCCACATTATATTAATGGAATACTAAAAAGTAACATTGTGCTGCAGTGATCTTTAGCTAAGGTGGAACGCTTCTTTTACTGACACACTTTTTGGTCAAATAGCATAATGAATTTTAAATTAGCATAATAAATGTCCATAAAAATAGCATTATGATTTAATAGGCAGCCCTTTTTAAAGATATCAGAGAGAGTTAAATATTAACCTAGACGTATCCACTGGAGTGCTCCACCAGACAAAAATTAGAGTAGAGTTTCAATCATGAGCACTGTGGTAATGATACTTGATTGCACACAGTGATCATTAAATGTATGTCTAAATTATATTAGGATCAATTAACTACTGCAATATTATAAGTTCATTAACATGTTTTGATATTATATGACCATATTAGAAGTTTTTATTCCTAAAAGAGGTTTACATTTTATTTAATCTTATTCAAATTTTGCCACTTCAATGAGAATGCATTTATTATACAATGCCAGTAAGTAATTTAAAACTAATTAACAGAGTTTAATAAGATAATAACTGTAATCCTCTGCTTCAAAGTGCACTGTTTTTTACTGAAAGCAGCAGTACTCAGATAAAATGTCCTCAGTGCAACACTATACTTTACACTGTCTTTATATTTGGTAAACATTAAAAAGTTACGTGATTTTTTTTTTTTGAGCAACCTGTAAGAATGTCGGTAAATTGAATATCTATTACTTAGAATAAGACATGAAAGTACAATGTTGCTGGACAAATTAGCAGAAGTACCTCGATGAAACCCAACAGCACCACGCTATTCTTTTCTTGGGTTTTCTCTCCTTTTTCTTTTTGAATGTGAAATATTCCCGTCTCAGCCCAGCTCCATCTGTTTGTCTGACCAGAGTGGCAGTGAGGCTAACTTATTGCTAGCACATGTGACCGGGTGAGTGTGTGTATGTGCCACGGCCTATCACACAGCATCGCCTTTGCCTATCAGCCCCCCCAGATGGATCTCTACCTTCATTAATGCAGGCCCACGGCAAGCGCATGTCTCCACATGTTAGCATGGGACGCAAACATCTGGCTTATTTTGAATGTTGTGGGTCCCCTTTCCTCCCTCAGACCTTTGCCTGCTCTTTTCTGGTGTCCTGCAAGGGGCAACTCGCATTTCTAGAGGAGAGGAAATGGTGCTGGTGTTGTTGTGGCGAGGGACTTCAAAGGGGTTTGGACGTCAGTCGTGAGCAAGCAGAGGGCAGAAGCTGGTCAATGACAGGGATTTATCGTCTAATGGCCCCTCTGGGGCGACTTTAGGTCTAATTTCAGAGGTGCTGAAAGTAGGATTTTATAGAGAATGCCATGTCCTAAGGTCCTTTCTTTCACATGTTTTTTTCATTACACAGAGGCTAATTTTAATGATAATGGGGAGGAGAATATCTGTTTTTGTCCGAGCTGGAATTCTGAATAGATTCAGAAAGATAAGCCTATGTTCAAAAATTACCAATAGCAAAATTTGATCTCACGGTGTGATGGGAACAAGGTTAAATCACAAGCTTGTATGCATAATTTCAAAGTTAAGTGTGTAAATTCATTGCATATTCTTTATCTAACCTGGCTTTGACGTCACCCAGGGATAGCCTATCGCGTAACACAGCGGGCAGTAACTCCAGTTCACTTTAATATTGATGTCTCCCTTCCCTTGTCTCTCCATCAGCAATATATTTAATGGTCACATTCTGTGCTTATTCAGCACAAGAAAAACGAGAGCAAGGTAAACATGCCAACTTGAGAGCACAAGACATTAGTCTTGTAGCTTGAAATAACTGGATTGTATTTAATGAGACGTATGTAAGTTGAGAGGGCAGACATTTGTTTTGTCCCTGACCGCATGTGCCGAATTAACTGACAAACAGTGAACTTCTCAGACTTTGGGACTGTGTAGTGTTCCAACGGCCATCAATACAAGCTCGTGATCTGTCGTCATTGTCAGTCAGGAGGTCGTTTGGAAGAAATGCACATTTAATGGCCTGATCCATTGTGATTGGAGTGGTTAATTGATGATCTGGTTGTAAATTTCT